TGACTTTTTCAGATCACATAGATCGATAACGCGAAGATTCAATCACTGTTATTTATTATTTTTCATTATCATTTTTCATTAGTAAAAAAATTATAAATATATAAAGTATATATCTGGAAAAAGCAAATACTTTTCATTATGTCAAGCTTAAAAATTGTTAAGATAAAGGAATTTCATTAGGAAAATGTGGCCGATATTGATATACTATATAATATGTATATGTGTTTGTGTAGTCACTATTTGTGTAGTCAGTTTTGTAGCCCATTCTGTTAGAATGCTTATTTTTGCTTACTTACGAAAAGTAATTAATTACCGCAAGATTTTCAAAAACAGTATTATAAAAACTCCTATATCATCTATCATAAAAGATCTCTCTAATTGTGTCAAAGTTTTATTTTTAGCATTCATTTAAGAAATATAGTGCAAAAACAAAGTGATAACGGTATTGACCTTGTTCTACTATCTAATAAATCCTTATATTACAAGTGTGCCGCATCGTAAATTTGTAAATTAATATCAGTATTTCTTGTTTTTCTCAAGGAGAATTAAAATTTCTTCTCGCAGAAATGTTAAGTCAAGTTAATCTCTACACGCGAGATTAGTTTAATCGTGCGTTACGCGAACCGACAACGTAAAACTGGAGTACAAAAAATAAAAATAAAGAAGATTGTAAACAGCGATTACGGTCATGCATTTCTGTTAGTTTTCTTGATAGATTTACGAGAAAGCAGAAACGTTACGTTCTTCGATCATATGAACCGTGCTGTTAAAACGTGAGTAGACAAATCTCGTCATCGATAACAAAAAGAGAACATCGACTATGTAGACACATAAAAGTTAAGCATGGAAATATTTTATTTGTTTTTATTTCAATTATTTTATATTTGTCTGTCTACATTAATTTATTTATTTATGATACCTTATTTTATTTAAATTTTATATATTGTACACTGAGAGAAAAATGTGATGCTGAATTTAAACAAATATTTGTTTGAATAATACCAGTTGAATATTTACTAAATGTAAACATATATTTATCTGGTACCAGAACCATTAATTTGATTTAACTATTGTTATCTTTATTTAGCAAATATTTGTTTTCCGTAAATAAATGTTATTTATTAAAATTTATTTATTAAAATTTAGTTCAAAACATTTTTCTCTTAGTATTCAAGCATTATCTCTCAGTATTCAAGCATTATCTCGTTGAGAATTCGGTTTACACGATCGTAGTTTAGGAGAGTTGAAGATAATATAATCCTCTACAACCGATTATCGGAGCATAGGGCAGAGAATAGGGAGGAGAAAGGGAGTAAGCGCGTGATGAAAGGTGGGGAATCATCGCATTCACAGGAAAACGATGGAAATATTGGAATCGGCGCAATATATGACTCCATAACAGGTCACGAAACGAAACGAAACGAAACAATGTTTGCGTTGCGCGGAACGTCGGAGATATCTCTCTCTCTCTCTCTCTCTCTC